CCAATTTGTATGCGATATCCATATCCTTAATAAATCATCCTCTAACTAAAAAAAAAGTATTATAGCTTTAAAAGAGAATCGAGCGTAATTTATCCAACCGCCTTTGCGATTTGAACAATACATTTATACCTACCCTTGCCATCCGAAGTACGGAACAACCTCACAATAACCTGTCATCGAATGATATACAGCATTCATCTAATATGCACAGCAATGGTGTGGATGCAGAGACACAAAAACTGTAATTCTACCTTTCGCCCTTAACAGAGTATAATACATTCGTACGCACACCTAGCGGGGTGGATGTAGTCCAAAAGTGTCTAACAATCATACGAAGGACATGACATAAATCGATGTGGTCATATTATGTCAAAACTTTTTGGAAAATATGTTTATCATTTTCGAATATGATGCAGCTGGGAGGGCAGCAGATCAATGGAAGGAAATTGTCGGAAACTGATAATATTGGTGTGGGTAGAATAAAGCATAATGGCATACGTATAAATGACTATTAGATGCGTTTTCATAATAATAGGAAGAGTATGCGAGAGTGAGAAGCCCATTTGTGTGACCTCCGCCACAATATCGTGTCGGGTTTTACCTCTTACAGCAGAATTTCGGATATAGATTTTAAAATTTTTTTGAAGTTAGCTCTACACATATCAACTGGAAATAAGAAACTCCCCGCTAATAATATGATTTGATATGGAAACATTTTATACCCTCCACCATTCTATGGAGGGTATATCAGCTTTGTCATTCCGTTTTTAAGTTCTCGAAATATTCAGAATAGACATGCAAAGTACACATACTCTGGATCAGGGTTGAATTCTAAGATAATCTAGCAATGTCCGTCTGTCTGTTGTAATCAAGCTATCTTTCGAACAAATTGAGATAGAAGGCTAAAATTTTGAATACATGCATAGTTTACCAGTAGGCAGGTTAAGTTAGTAAATGGGCCATCTCGGTCCCCGATTTCGTATAGCCCCCATATAACGGTACCTCCCGATATTCGGTATTTTCATGATTTTAGCGACATTATTTTCCGGAATAATTTCAAACTTCGTATTTGAAGTTCGCAATGGGTACTACAGCCTATGACAAAACATCTCGTATGCAGGTCCACGTCTTCGTATAGCCCCACACAACGGTACCTACCGATATTCGGTATTTTCATGATTTCAGCAACATTATTCACCGTAATAGATACAAACCTCGTTTTGGAAGATCTTAATAGGTACTACAACCTATGGAAAAACATTTCGTATGCAGTTCACGCCTTCGTATGGTCTACATACATAAAATGCTTTTTTGACTGGCTGAAGGGTGGAAATACTTAAAGCACATAATTGGCTGGCTTCTTCGTAGATGAACAAAGGAGTTTTAGGTTGACTTAGTTCGATGTTGGCCCTAGACTCTTTTGTTCATTTCGAGCCGGATTCTAGAATTGAAATAGCACCCTAACGAAGCGGTCGGTTTTATTTTTTCTCAATTACACCACGATAATTTAATACGATCGAAGAGCGACCATCACCATGGCCGCCGCTTGAGTTCTGGTGGCCAACCGAAGCGGCACATTTTCAGCTGACCTCTTTGGAAAGTAAACATTTTGTTTGCCTACAAACAGCTGGACAACGAATGTTTTCTCATCGGAGAAAACCAGATTCGGCAGTTCACCACTTTCGGCCAAGTGAAGCAACTCTTTAGCTCTTTTGAGTCTATTTTTTTTTCTGTTGCGGTGTAAGTTCTTGCACTTTTTGGAATTTCAATGGTTTTACCCCGAGCACATTTTTAAATATTTGCCGAATGGAACATTTTTCGGCCACTACGACGTGGGTTTCGATCAAGTTCGATCAAGTTCGATCAGCCGATGACTTAAGCCAGCCAGATAAGCGCTTTATGTATTCCCACCTTAAGCCATTGGCTGGCTTCTTCGTATATGAACAAAGGAGTTTTAGGTTGACTTAGTTCGATTTTGGCCCTAGACTCCTTTGTTCTTTTACGAAGAAGCCAGCCGATTACTTATGCCAGTCAAAAATGCCTACTATGTACTCTCAAGTTTAAGCCAGTCAAAAAAGCGTTTTATGTATTCTCACCTTAAGACCCATGGTAAAATTAAGAAGGTAAAGTCATTTCAAATAAGATTAACCATCTCTGCATTTTCTGTAATTACAAATTTCACTGCATAGAAAATAAATTCCCACCTTTACATTTAAAATACCTCAACGATCTTTCTTTTTTGGTAATTCTTCTCTTATTTTAAATAAAAGCTGCATTTCTCTGCTTGTGGTGAGTCTCTTACCACTGCTGGGTGAAAAACCTTACTATTTTTTTCTCGGCTTGAAAGGTGAGATGGGAAAAGACCTTAGGGTGGAAACACATAAAACGCATATTTGGCTGGCTTAAGTCATCGGCTCGCTTCTTCGTAGATGAACAAAGGAGTTTTAGGTTGACTTAGTTCGATTTTGGCCCTAGGCTCCTTTGTTCATTTCCGAAGAAGCCAGCCGATGACTTAAGCCAGCCAAATATGCGCTTTATGTATTTCCAGCTTTACCATCCGGATGTAGTTTCAAATCTATCCGGCTCGAAGGACCAATGTACAAATGAGAAATTAAACGACCGTTAGGTTTCATTCGAGACTGTTTTTATTTAAAAATATAAACATAATAAAAGTACAACAAAAACTAATCAAACTTAAGCTGGAAATACATAAAGAGCATATTTGGCTGGCTTAAGTCATCGGCTGGCCTCTTCGGAAATGAACAAAGGAGCCTAGGCCCAAAATCGAACTTAGTCAACCTAAAACTCCTTTGTTCATCTACGAAGAAGCCAGCCGGTGACTTAAGCCAACGAAATATGCTCTTTATGTATTTCCAGCCTTAGGGTGAGAATACATAAAATGCTTTTTTAACTGGCTTAAATCATCGGCTAGCTTCTTCGGAATAGAGCAAAGGAGCATAGGCCCAAAAACGAACTAAGTCAACCTAAAACTCCTTTGTTCCTCTACGAAGAAGCCAGCAGACGACTTAGGCCAGTGGAAAAGCTTTTAATCTTCTCCCACCTTTACACTAATCGTAGCCACACAATTACAGGGTGAGATGAAAAAACTGCAACCAAATTCAGATTGCTGTCATTTCTAAGGCACTCGTCCAATAGCAGTTAAAATTATTCCAGTGACAGCTCATTATATTGTTTACAAGCGTACACAAGCATTTTGGTGAGAATTTTTTAGAAAAAAAGTTATTTGTGATGGAATTCAAGCGTGATAGTGTGATTTCTTTATATTTGGCTGGAAAACCACAAGTGGCTGTCGGTAGAGCACTCCAGCATTTAAATGTGAATAAATCTTTTGGGTCTCGTACCATCGCTCGTTACCGTGATACTGGTAGCGTAGCCCGACGTCAAGGAAGTCGACGGAAGAAAACAGCAAAAATGGTTCGAAAAATAAAGAAGCGACTTGATCCAAACCCGCGTCTCAGTGGCCGAAAATGGCTCGTGAGCTGAACATATCGCATGTTCCGCAATAACAGCCGATGGTCGATCTCCGCTCGTATAAATTGACCTTGGAATCAGAATATCGAAAATTATCGCGAAAATGTTCTGGAGGGTGTATTAAAGCCTTGGGCACGCAAACAATTATGCCGCAGACTTTGGACATTCCAACAGGACTCAGCACAATCGCATTCGGCACGCGCCACCCAAGAATGGTTACAAAATGAGGTTCCTCGCTTCGTTTCCAGCGCACAATGATCACCAAAATCTCCGAATATCAATCCGTTGAACTATTGTGTCTGGAGTATTTTGGAAAGCAAGGTTGGCACTACAAAATACCAAAGTGTCGATCACCTCAAGCAAGCGCTTCGCCGGTAATGGGCCAAAATACGGCAGAGCAACATTCGGGCAGCGTGTGACGGTTTCATTGGCCGTTTGAAGGCCATAATTCGCGCCAAAGGTGACCAATTCGAACAAATCTAAACTTATTCTAAAAGTTGATGCTATTTTCGACATTTTTTGCTTTCATTTAATAAAATTAAAAAAAAATGTAAAAATTATGGCGTTTGACTTTGTTGCTGTTTTTTTAATCTCACCCTGTATACTTGTTCTTTTGCGATGAAGCCAGCCGAGGACTTAAGATGGAAATACATGAAGCGCTTATCTGGCTGGCTGCTTCGGAAATGAACAAAGGAGCATAAGGCTAAAATCGAACTAAGTCAACCTAAAACTCCCTTGTTCATCTACGAAGAAGCCAGCCGACGACTTAAGCCAGCCAGATAAGCGCTTTATGCATTTCAACCCTTATGTCAGCAAAAAACTGTTGTAGCTGTAACTTTAAGGTGTGAATTCATAAACAAATGAGTTGTAGGTTGACTTAGTTCAATTTAGGCCCTAATTTATACTTGTACGCTTCTTTGTTCTATTACGAAGAAGCCAGCCGATGACTTAAGGTGGAAGTACATTAAAGGTGGGAATACATAAAACGCTTATCTGGCTGGCTTAAGTCATCGGCTGGTTTCTTCGTAGATGAACAAAGGAGTTTTAGGTTGACTTAGTTCGATTTTGGCCTTAGCCTCCTTTGTTCATTTCCGAAGAAGCCAGCCGATGACTTAAGCCAGCCAGATAAGCGCTTTATGTATTCCCACCTAAGTCATCGGCTGGCTTCTTCGGAAATGAACAATGTATTATGTATTTCCACCCTAAGGGTTGGAATACAGAAGCTCATATTTGACTGGCTTAAGTCATCAGCTGGCTTCTTCGGAAATTATCGAAGGAGCCCAGGGTCAAAATCGAACTAAGTTAACCTAAAGCTTCTTTGTTCCTCTACGAAGAAGCCAGCCGATGACTTATGCCAGCCAGAAAAGCTCTTTATGTACTTCCACCTTTATTCACCATCATTACACATTATTTTCCGCTAAAAACATACATACTTACTCCTTTTCAGATGTGTGAGTACGTTATACATAATTTTCCCGAATGTATGACACCTCTACAACGTTGAAAAATCTAAATAGGACGTCAGAATGAAAAACATCCCCATTTTATAATGAACAAAATCACAATTTCACACAACCATCCTGCCGAACGGCAAACAATACCATCCAACGGCACAGCAAGCGTAAGCAACACACCACCCAAGCGTTTATCAACCAACTGAGACTGTTTGTCATGTTAGCACTGCTATTTAAAGATTTTCTGCGGGCCAAACGAAACGGGCAAACCCCCCGTCCGTACCACAGCAACGCGCTTAAACTGATATTCACGGCAAATTCCAAATATATACAGCAAAAAAAAAAGGCTTCTTGGTTGTGAGTGAAAATAGCTTCGCCTTGAGTGTTTCCCAGACGAACGAGTTGAGTGGAAGAAGGCAGGTAAGACACGAAGCCGTATCCATGAAACGAACGCATCCACGAACGGCAACGGCCGATGTTCTGACACGATATCTACGTTTAGCAGCAATACGCTATCATCATTCAGTTGAGATTTGGGTTCCCGCATTGACGAACGGAAAACAGTACGTACAGCTACATATATTTTGTGATTATTTCTTTTGTAGTAGTTGTTATTTGTTTGAAATGTCTGTACATAATATACATCTAAAGTAGTTCACTTGAGGAGGAGGATGAAAAGAAAAAAAAAAAGAAGTAAATGAATCGAAATCGGATGTTTTGTAAAGTAAAGCCACTACAATTTCTAATTTTTCTAATCCAAATGACATTGGCAAACTGCAGTTGTGGCAAAAACATTACTTTCTCTCTCTCACACTGTTCTCATATATAATGATGTAATGTTTCTATGTGCATGTCTTTTGCGTTGTGAAAATTATTTGATTTTGTTATTGATTTTCAATTGCGATGCAAAAATTAAGGAATATATTGTCTTAAACCATGTTGAAACTCGATTTTTTTGCTTTGTTATGGAAGATGTAGCCAGGCCAGCTGAAATATTACGTCAATATGGCGTGGATGTGGTGACGACGGGCAAGTTCTGTCTATGTACATTGGTGTGCGTGTGTTTGTCATGTTTAGCTGGTCGTGCAAAACTTGAGTTCATGGGTTTTGTTGCTGAAACGGAGACGGGTAGTTCATACATAACAATACCGAAAAGAGAACGTTTGTTGGGTTCTTTAAGTGCCCCTTCGATTAACATTAAAGAGGAAAATTTAGATGAAATTACAGACATTCAAAATGTAGGGGATGAAGTTTAAGATACAGTTGGCAGAGGCTTTAATTAATAATTGACCGAAAAAATATGTTTAAATTTAAGCAAGAAAAAAAAAAACAAATTATAACGAAGCAGTGTCGGGCCAAATGAAATACACAAAAGAGAATGTGGACAATGACAAGTAAAAAACTGGCTGGCTACCATGTGAAGTTACAATAATGCCTTGTTAATATCGGTGACATTGGCAAATAGAGTGGATATGCAGAAATAAAATAGACGTCATAAGGTGTGTATAAGCAAACATGAGACTGGACTAGGGAGATAAATGTGTATAGCTTATACCACTTGCTATTTTTAAATGGCTGTCTACCTATCATAAACCAATTAAAAATGCAACAGTTCAATAAAGAAATTGTATTACTGAAAGGTCAAATGCCATTCAGGAAACGTGGTGTGTATCTAATAAAGGTCAAGAAAGTCACCAAAAACGAACGGAAAGTTTATACAAATATAACTACCTGGAGAGAGAGATGGAAAAATCAAGGCAAAGCAGAAATATTAAAATATGTACATATGTTCGCCACAAATGCATCGACACAAAAACTATGGCGTTTCCCATGCAATAAAACCGAGAAGTCAAGAACATTACCAAAAACAGCTGCCACTATTTCCAAGATGCATAAACATGGTGCTATTTGCAAGGAATTTGAAAAATTCAGCCTTTCCAAAGGAACATTTGAGTAAATCATAAGGCGAGAGTCAATCCTCGGAAAATATCGATAAATTGCTTGATTAATGTGCCGTTACCAAAATCCCAAAAAGAAAGAATTTAAAAACGCAAATCTGTACAAAATGCTTTTGACATTGCTTAAGGATTACCATACTATTACAAAAAATAATACAGGGTGTGATAAAAAAACTGCAACAAAGTCAAACGCCAACATTTTTACATTTTTCTTTAAATTTTATTGAATAAAAGCAAAAAATGTCGGAATTAGCATCAAATTTTAGAATAAGTTTAGATTTGTTCGAATCGGTTACCTTTGTCACGAATTATAGCCTTCAAACGGCCAATTTTGGGTCATTTCAGGCGAAGCGCTTGCTTGAGGTGATCGACACTTTGGTAGTGTCCAACGGATTGGTATCCGTAGATTTTAGTGGCCATTGTGTGCTGAAAATAAAGTGAGAAACCTCATTTTGTAACCATTCTTGGGTAGCGCATGCTGAGTTCGATTGTGCTGAGGCTTTAATACACCCTCCAGAATATTAAGAGCAAAGAGCGACCATCGAATGTTATGAAGGCCCACATCATCACCATGGCCGGCGCTTGAGTTCTAGTGGCCAACCGAAGGTGCACATTTTCAGCTGACCTCTTTGGCAGGTAAACACGAACATTTTGTTTGCTCACAAACTGCTGGACAACGAATGTTTTCTCATCGGAGAAAACAAAGTTCGGCAGTTAACCACTTTCGGCCAAGCGAAGCAACCCTTTAGGTCTTTGGGATCCATTTTCTTTCTGTTGCGGTGTAAGTTCTTTCAGTTTTTGGAATTTCAATGGCTTTACCCCGAGCTCATTTTTCAATATTTACCGAATGGAATATTGCGATATGTTCAGCTCACGAGCCACTTTTCGGGGTTTCGATCAAGTTCTTTGCTTTTCGAACCATTTCTACTGATGTTTCTGTTTTCTTCCGTCCACTTCCTTGACGTCGGGCTACGCTACCAGTATCACGGCAACGAGCGATGGTACGAGACACAAAAGATTTATTTACATTTAAATGCTGGAGTGCTCTAGCGATACCCACTTGTGGGTTTCCATCCAAATATAAAGAAATCACGCTTGAATTCCATCACGAATAGCTTTTATTCTGGAAAATTCTCACCAAAATGATTTTGTTCGCTTGTAAACAATATAATGAGCTATCACTGGAATAATTTTAACAGTTGTCGGACGAGTGGCTTAGAAATGACAGCGGTCCGAAGTTGGTTGCAGTTGTTTCATCGCACCCTGTATTTATATTCAGCATGCCCAAAGAGCAGACAAAGAGTTCTCAGTAAAAATGAACGTGCAAAAAGAAAATTTGGATAAAACTGTGAGCAAGAAGTTATAGAAGCATTATCTCTTCAATGTGCCTTACAGGAACTGAAATGATATGAATGAAGTTTTGATAACAGAAAAGAAGTCAATGAAAATAAATCTTCAAAAAATGGTGCGTCCATCAAAGGATCATATCATTGATAACCCCAAGAAAATTTAAAAAAACGAGCAGTGAAGACTTCAAATTCCAAAACAATTTTATTAAAATAATAGGTATGGCAGAATAATACACATACCGAGAATAATGACGCCGTCTTTAAAGTTTTCGTATAATTATATCCTTAATAACATTGCATATACACAAATGATGGGAACCCTTTTTCTATGAAGTTCAACTTGACAAGTGCTCTGTTCCAGAACCTGCAAGAATATACTAGTTTTGCAATTTTCCCCGATATCATTAAGGAAAAATCGGTTATAGTAGTAAAAAGTTTTACATTCTGGCTGTAAGCAAAGCAATGTTATCTTGTAGAAAATGTCGAGCTGCATAAGTTTATTTCATAATTCTACCATGGTTGATACATTGAAACATGCATTAAGGTGAGAGAAGATAAAAGGCTTTTTTGACAGTCTTAAAGGTTGGAATACATAAAACGTTTTTGACTGACTTAAGTCATTGGCTGCTTCTTCGGAAAAGAACAAAGGGCCAAATTCGAACTAAATCAACCTAAAACTCCAGCCGATGACTTAAGCTGGAAATACATAAAGCGCTTATCTGCCTGGCTTAAGTCATCGGCTGGCTTCTTCGGAAATGAACAAAGGAGCCTAGGGCCAAAATCGAACTAATTCAACCTAAACCTCCTTTGTTCATCTACGAAGAAGCCAGCCAAATATGCTCTTTATGTATTTCCAGCCTTAAGCCAGTGAAAAAAGCGTTTTACGATGAGAGTACATTAACAACATGGCCCAATTATAAGGTCTTCCTTCGAGCGAATCAATCTAAAAACAGCTGTTATTTTACCAGATGAGGCGAATATAAATATTTTCGCATTGACATGATTTTTTGTATGTATAACACATGGTAGAAAAATACAGGTAGACGCATCGACGCAGCTGCTGGGACAATGAACCGTCAAACCGGATTTTAAATTAAAAATGTTAAACGAAAAATTGTTGATATTTGTAAAAATTGCATGTCATAACAACCTCCAATTTGCGTCGTATTAGAAAACGTATAAAAATCTACTTATTTTTGACAAAAAATTTTAACAATTTTGACATATCAATGTTCCCAAGCATTGCAATAATTTTTTGAATAATTTTTCATTTTAAAATTTTAACTTAAAAATTGGTTTGACACTTCATTGCCACAGCATCTATGCAATGCGACTACCTGTATTCTTCTACCATCGTTTTGAAGTTTGTTTTTGTTGCAGCGAATTCAAATTTAATTGACAGATCGTCTGGTAATCAGCTGAGCTGGAAGGGGGACCTTATATTTGGATCATGACAAACAACTTGAAGTCTTCGCCTAGACATAACGAACCATCGACTTTGGCATTTTGATATGTACAACGGCAGTTTTTTCTATTATTAGAAAAAAAATATGTTCACATTGCCCTGCAGTGAAATTTTATATCAAAAAAGCGTCATATCGAGTTTGACACTAGTATTACTATAGAGTCAAATCAGCTGGGACTTGCTGTTACCTGTAATAATAATACCATGTTCGTAGAGGGACAAAGGAGTTTTAGGTTGACTTAGTTCGATTTTGGCCCTTGGCTCCTTTGTTAATTTCCGAAGAAGCCAGCCAAATAAGCGCTTTATGCATTTCCACCTTAAGTAAAAAAGCTGTAAGTTCGGCCGGGCCGAACTTAATACCCTCCACCATTTGGTACGAATTTGGCAATTTTCAATCAAAAAATAAAATCCGTTTACAATTTTGCCTATACGACTACTTGGACCTGCATAGGCAACTTTTGTCATAAGTTATTACAATATTTAAATGTGAAACTTGAAGAAAAATCTGTTCATAATGTAGCTAAAATCATCAAAATACCGAATATAGGGGGAATCGTTATATGGGGGCTATACGAAGACGTGGACCTGCACAGACAATTTTCTGGCATGGGCTGAAGTATCCATTACGAACTTCACACGCGAAATTTGAACTTTATGAACTTTAAATACCAAATTTGAAACATTTCCGGTAAATAATGTCGCTAATATCATCAAAATACCGAATATCGGGAGGTACCGTTATATAGAGGGGCTATATGATAACCTGGACCTACATGGGCCATTTACGAACTTAACCTGCCTACTGGCAAAATATACATGTGTGCAAAATTTTAGCCTTCTATCTCAATTTGTTCGAAAGATAGCGTGATTACAACAGACAGACGAACAGACAGACAGACGGACATGGCTAAATCGTCTTAGAATTTTCGCTGATCAAGAATATATATACTTTGTTGGGTCTGAAATAAGTATTTCGAGGAGCTACAAAGGGAATGACAAAATTAATATACCCTCCATAGTATGGTGGAGGGTATAATTATGAGTCATATGTAAAATAGCAATTTTGACATACACACGTGAACACGTGTATAATAAAAGTGACAGAAAATATGCAAAACCATTATCGTCTGATAGCAGCTCTACCTTCTCGGAAAGAAGCCGCTGGACAATTCTTACAGGAAAAATAATTAGGGAGGCCGTATATTTCCCTTCCACCTTGGACTTAATTGAGTGGAATAACCCTAACGTTCCATTCATTATTTAATGTATTTTTACCAATTCAATATCAACTAATTGTTGCATACTTAAAATGTCCATTTGACACTATACGTCTCCAGTACAGAGTTGCATTTCTCATACATCCTTCGTTGCTACTTAGCTCGTTGCGCCATGGGTGTATATAAACACACTAGGTAAACCCACAATATCTTTAATAATGTAAATACTTAACCCCATGACTGTCCTTGATGACATCTGTCGGAGGT